GGGATGATGGAGCATGCGTGTGTGTCTGTATATATGAACTTTAGCACATAAAATATGACTGACTGAGAATTCACAGGCAGAACAAATTAGGTGGGAACATTTGCTGGGCTATGACACAACTGCACGGCCCCTCAGCCACACCCTTTCCCAATTGGAAGAATTCCATTTCATTCACATTTTCTCATTTATATTCCCAATTAATGTCAGCATGTAGAGTCACTCGTTATGAACTTGGCAAGGTTCAACCTGTCAGATTTTGTATTTGGCAGACTACCTGAACAGAAGGGATCTTTCAAGCCAGCATTTATCTGAAGGAAATGAGGTCTCCTACCATTAGCTTTTCTGTCTGGAAACTGGCCAGCCTATCAATTTTATTGACTGAATTAAATTGGAAACTAAATTAAATTACATTGCATTTAAAATGATCATAAGACCTTATCACTAAACAGGACCTTTAATTCCTCTGGATTTCTGGACTTCACCTTCCTTGCAACACTCCCCACCTGTTTTCTTGCCTTCCCACAAGTATCAGAGATGCTTTACTCATTGTTAATGCTTCCCATATTTTCTGGTTGTGTGTCATTTATGGAATTCACTTCAACCAAAAAAAAACTGTTGCCTTTTCCTCCTGCCACCTAGGAGAATTAGTAGGTTCTAGTCAATGATGCAAACTGTTTGCAATATTTTTGTGGATGTTTACACGTTGGCTTTCCACGACTGGATGATACACTGCCAAAACATTTTATTGATAATGTTTTCATGTCAATTAATTGATTAACAAATAATTCACCAACCTTTTTGCAGTTGTGTTTGAACTGACTCCACAGATGTACACCAATTGTAATGTATACATCTTCACAGAAAGTATACATTCCTCTGAGTGCATTAAAAATGGAAGAAAAAGTGAATTCTCATGTAGAGTGCAATTACAGCACGAAGAAAAAGTTTGTCTTTAAGAAATAACATGAGGACCATTTTATCGTTTAAAAAAAAAGTGAACGAAATGCTTTATTCAAAAGGCATCAGTTCCTTTGCCTTTTGTTTTGATTCTTGAAGATGTCATCAGCAACATTTGGTCATATTTTATCATGTGCGAGATGGAATCATATAAAATGACATCTGTAAGCAAGATGAAATCAATGGAAACTTTAATGGTTGCAGCTGTAGATCTTGCAAGTGATCTCATTTTTATGAAGATGTAAGAAATGATATGAGCTGAGTTTTTATTGCTTCTCCCCAAACAGAGCCAAACCATTATTTCACTGTGGGATTAATGGTCAGATACAGTTCTAGTTATTTGGATTTGAATAGCTTCCCAGCTTGTCTGGGTAACTTTTGTGCCAATAAAACTAAAGGAGAAGTTCAACATAGTCGTGGTATGGCTCGGATTCTTTTGTACTTAAATGTCAATTGCAGAAAGAAAGGTCTTGCATTTATATGGCACTGTTGATCAACCCAGATATTCCAAAACACTTTACAACCAATGAAATACTTCTGAGCTATAATCACTGTAGTAGTGCACAGTTCTTGTACTCCATTTTCAGGAATTTTTCTGTGATAATACAAGTAAAATCGGTCACTGATTTTTTTTGTCTGTTCTCAACTTTTCGGCAATATTACTGGACCTATATCAACTACACACATCTACTTAACCTAAGAATGTGGTAGTTAAATCTCTTTAGTATATTATACAATTTAGAACAGAGCAACTTGCTGGGACATACCTTATAAACTCAGGGGCTCTATTCCTTCAAACACTTTGAAGAGTTATTTTCTCAATATAGTGTGCATTTGCTCAATGTTAATGTTTTGGTACAAAAGGGATTTGCTCAAAGGACCAGGAATTGTTCAGTGCAGCATTTCACCATTCCGTCACTTGAAATAACAGATAAAGAAATCAAGTCCATATTTTCCAATGAAGAGCAATCATCTTGTTCTCAATTTAAGAAGAGATCCATTTACGCTAAATTTCTTCAACTTGAACTCTACATTAACTTGAATGCTGACCACAAATACTGAACAATCTACTTCAGTGTAAACATTTACTCACCAAATTAGCAAACATTTCATTTATTTGAAAGGTGGAGGGAATGATTTTCATAGGCTTTTTAAAAATGCCTGAACCTATCTCATGCAGTATGGATATTTGATTCTTGTAACAGAATTTTTTTTCTACTGATATAGTAGAGGTTTAGCTTATTTTAAATAAATTACTTAAGCCCTGTGACAAAACAGTGGAGGAAGGAATTTCAGGTAAAGAATTTAAACACTTATATGCGGGTATCCTTGGCATTATTTCAGGGCAACAGATTTACTACATAGAAATGATTGTCAGGTATATATCGACTAGAAGACATTATTGTAGAAATTGTTTCTGGCACTGGTTCAAGTATGAATCCAATAATGAACAAACAGCGAGCCACTGAACCAGGAGTAAAGAGGCTCAGCCAAAATTTCAGATGTAATACACTATGTCAGATTTTGCTTAATGCTTGTTTCAGTGATTTAGTTGGTTATGGGCCAAGCAATGTTTTGATTTAAATGCCATGAATAATAAAGTACAGTAATCATGAAGCTCTGAATATATTATTACATGTGGAAGAAATTCTAATGTAACAGTATGGTTTAAGTTCAGTTGACTGCGATACTCTTGCTAAGTGAATATCTGATATGCAAAATTTTCCATTGACTGAAAATCAATCTAGTTTTAAATCTTCTCCTAATTGGTGCTGTTAACAGAATAAGTAGATAATTATGCAAAGAATACATAGAAGTGTAATCGACCCATGCTGCAAATTATAATATTTTTACATTTGATGTCTTTCCATTGAAGATTTATCTGGGCCAAAATTTGACAAATTTAAACTTGTTTCTGTTAACTAGTGTTTGGAAACAGCTTGTTCTGTCCTTTGGGTACATATGTTTTTTGTGTGAATGCACACAAGAAGTATTGCTTATTAATATTAAATTAAAACTGGTTTCTATAAACTTATTTCTGCAAGGAATTTATGTCGTCTTTATTTATGTGTGTGTGTGGGATAGACAAATATGCAAACTCTGTCTGGAATTATAAATACTAGCTTCATTGAATAACCAACGTCTCTTCATTGTTATTGTTAAAAAGCAAACCCATATCAGGTCAAAATCGGTTTAATTAAATTCTCAGACAATATTTGCACATTGCAGCAAGAGAAAGAATCATTTGCTGGCTAAATGATGAAGAGTATCCTGCTGACAAACAAAGTATTTTTGAAAAAAATAATAATTGCAACATCCAATTAGACAAAGATTCATTGGATGAGAAATTTGGCCATACAGCACTTTTTTTTATTCAAGCTCTAAATGATTTCCTGGCTCTCTGGCAGCAGGAAATTCAAGTGGATTGATTGCGAGTAGGAAGTTCTCCATTAGCCATATTGTGAAAGGCAAAAAAAAAATCACAAACTGATGCTTGTACTTGAACAGGCATCAGCTTCATTTGTAAATAAGGGCCTAACAATTTTGAGAACCTCACTGCAAAATTGATTCATCCTGAAGCACCCAACACCTGCCAGGTAGAATAACAGGCCTGCCTAAAACTTGACCATTGAAAACTTGTCAAACTGTAATTAAAGATATTCGAAGAAATATCAATATTTCTAACTGAATGTGGAACAAACATTTCTTCCCAAACCAACATTGAAAGATTGCTGTCAAACCAATACTCTAACTATTAATTCCCTTAACTCCTCCCTCCAGCCCACCACCTAAATGGGCCATCTTTCCTCCTTACTCCCACAAGCTACTAAATCCAATAAAGCCATCTATGGTCAACCCTCTCCATCACTTGCCTGATAGAAAATAATAGTATCTCAATGACTCAGGCTTCAACCAAACATTGACAGCCAGTCTCAATATTGCTATCAGAAAACTCAATTTCTTTATTGAAATGAGGCCCAAGGCCCACCATGAAGGATGTGAGAGACCCCAAATTTTCTCATAAGACATGAGAAGAGTTTTATACTTAAATTACTTACACAAAAATACACCCTTGTAACATGAAATGCTTAGCTATAGTAGAGGCAATATCTGCTTATCTTTATTTCATTGATTTCAACCATATATGAAGGTCACTGGAGTGAAATAGAACTCCATGAATGTGGAAATGTACATCTAAGCTCATCAAAAGACTTTCTTCTTTTGGTCTTTGAAGCAATGTTTAAAATTGGAGAATTGGAATTAAGGACTCATATTTCATCTGCTCTTTTAATTTGAAGCTATCAATTTTTCTCTCTTACAATAGTCAGATCTTTTATTTCATCCGAAAAATGTTAACCATTTTCAGAACAGTGTCCCACCTAACAGAAAAATCAGGAACATACCAGTGGCAATTGATGGTTTGTGGAATGGTGCAGGACTTGTGGTGCAGTTGTAGTGCTCCTATGTCTAGGCTGGAAGCTTCAGGTTCAAGTTCCTGCCAGGACTTGTTGGCCATGGAAGGAGTATTCACAATGTGGTTTAATGGGCAGATAATCAACTTTGGAATCCTTCTGCCACCTTCCCACTGTTTCCCAAATGGAAAAAAAACATGTGTGAAGATATACTTAAAAAGTCACTATATGCTGTACAATCAAGTACAGGACTACTGCCTTTTTCATCCCCAGTCCCAATTCAATTAATACTCAAGTTTGCATTTCAATTTAAAGATGCACAGTGGCCCTTAAGAAGTTAGCTTTTGGTATGTGATACAAATAATTGTGACCATAAATACACCAGATTAAAATATATTTTCAATATGCTTTTCAGGTTTCTTTTTCTATAATTTATTCAAGATAACAAATTAAATAGAGCAATCAGAATATTTTATTTTGAAAATATAAGGTATGCAGAGTAATTTATTATTAAAAGAAAATGTACACTTTAACATGATGGAAGAGAAAGTGGCAATAGATTAATTGACAGATTGACATGAGTGGAAATTGCTAACAATGACCTATTTGTTCATAATGGTTTAAATATAGCTTTACAATTTAGTACTTGCCACAAATGTTTTACTGCATTTTGAACTTTAATATTTTTAAGCTGTCACTAGAATCCTTCATACAGCAAAACAATGAGTTTATTGCACCTGGAAAAAAGGACAGAAACATGGATTACATATTTCAGGAAATGCCTCTCCAGTCCTTCCACCAAGATCAAAAGAGTTAGAGTACTTCATATCCAAGGATATTGAAAATATACTAACTTCCATCAGAATATAGACTCTACATCCCTGTTTGTTGCACAAGGTAGCTGAACATAGTTAATCAAGCAGACTGACACAGTTATCTTCTCATGGCACGTCCCTTCCACCTACTACCATTTTCCGCGCCAATTAAAGAAATTTCTGCTGCAGACTCCTTTAAGATTTTTGCAGGATTGTTGGGCTAAAATTATAGACCTTTTGAACATTGCTGATCTGATTTACTTTCTTGAAGGCTTGATAATAAAAAGTCGCTTTTTTCACTTCAGGGTCCTTGTTCCAAAAAACAGTATTTCAATATAAAGAATTGTTAAAGAGACAGTGCTTTTATTTTTGCTTTATGCAAAGGTCTGGTAAATGGTCAACTGTGTTCTGTTCCTTAATATATGTGCTTTCCTATTGCAAAAACGGATGACAATATCTAGATAAAGTTATTTACCTAAATTTGTCACTGCTCTTTTATGTATGATGTATGTTACAATATAACACAATCTGTCACCCATGTTTTAGTAGTAGCACCCTCATTGGTTTTGGAGTTCAGAGATTTGGGGTTCAAGCCCTACTCCACAAATTTAATCTTTCAATCTTAGCTGATCCTCCAGTATAATACTGAGAGAGGTGTCATTACACTGGGACTCTGTCTGACCGCCAAGAAATAAACAAAAACCCCTTGGGACTTTTTGAAGAAAATTAGGTGGCTCTCCCTGGTGTACTGGCTGGTTTTTATTACTCAAGTAATGTCACTAAAATCGAATAGCGTGGTGTTGATTTCATCGCTGTTTGCGGAAACTTGCACCTAACAAGTTGGCTGTTGCATTTAACTGCAATGGAGAAGTGACTAAACGCGAAAAGTATTTGATGAGCTGTGAAGTTCTTTGGGGAATCCTGAAGTCTTGAGAGGAGTTAGATAAATTCAATTATGTATTTTCTTAACTAACAATATTCAGTTTGCGATGCCTCGCTTCTTAATGCCCCCGAACTTCTTGCATTATGATCAGGAGTTCTATAAAACCTAACTACTTAAGCTTACTTGTTTTAGAAATATTTGTGCCGATTGAAGTGAGGAATTTTCAGTTGAGGAATGCATTTTTTGCAAATTTGTCTCAATTAATTATTATTGCAAAACAGACTTTCTAATTTAGTGTGGCGTAGTGGACAACCTGCTAAGAATTTCTTTTTCACACAGGTTGATTTGGCTCTGTATGTCCTAAACAACCTGTCTCATTCAATTTTTTTTTGCGGTGGACAGGAGGACCCAGGAACGTTTTTGGCTTCATGGGAGTGTAATTCCCTGCTTTACCGTGTTAGATTACCTGATTTATGCCACACCGGTCCTCCGGAGGTCAGCGAAGGATTAGAAAGCTCAATTCTATTCAAGGTCATGTGTTCATTAAATGGGTTGATCTGTTCAGGGAATGCAGACAAAATAGTATTTGGTTATATGAAGTAAAAACATTCAGAAAGCAGTTAGCACCGTGGAAGGCCACAGAATAGGTAACTCTTGATGGAATTCGTCAGTGCACAATACTTGAGAAATCCTACAGTGGATAAAAATGTCAAAATCGCTGGTTGCACCCCCCAGAGAGGATTTGTGATTATGAATCTAACACCATTCATCTTTTCACGTGATGTAAATATATATTCTGCCATCTCTATTTTGATAAATACCAACATAATTTTCAATAAAATAATGACTGGACAATTTAAAATGTTTTATACCTGGTGGTTATTTTTGTTTTAAAAGCCAAGGTTTGTTCAAGTTGATCAATTTCAGTGAAAAAAATGTCTATTATCCCAACAGACCTATTGCTGTTTTGTGTTAAAATATTACAAGAGAGAAATTGTAGGCTGTTCATTCTCTTAATGACTTTAGTTTTTGCTACGCTATTTAATGTTCTTTGTGATGCAAAGTGGATTGTATTTTGACACGAAAGTTGTCAACTATCAACTATACCATTCACTCATAATATTAATGCTATCTTTTTTTAATGAGATATGAAGTCCAATGAACAAATATTTGTAAAACAAAATGGCAATGTTTAGAAAAAGCAACAAGAATGTGCTTTCAAAATATAAAAATGCTACATTCAGGAATTTCAATAACACAGTCCAGTTTGTTTGGGCAACTATGGTGAATGTGCCTATAATCACTTGTCATTTTCTTTTACTTTGGATTGTTATCAAATAAATAGAACAGATGTAAATTTCTAGGATATAGTGTTGAGGAAAGAACCCTAAAGTTTGCTCCCTTCACCTATAGCTTTCCTATACCACAACTGAACTGAAACACTTCCACTGCCATTTTAATTCTTGATGGACATGTTATGAAATAATTAAGTAACTTGATTTGATTATGTTTTTTATCCGCAAAGAAAGCTCTGTTACAGATTTGTGGTCTTGAGGATCTATCATAGAAATTCTTTTGTACATAATTTTTCAAAACAAGACAAGTGGACAAGTGAACCCTAAAATTGTTGCTAATACATCCATTACCAGTTCCTATAATTTAAAAAAATGCGGGAAAATGTAGTTTGTCTAATTAATGATTTTTGGAGGAGTGCAGAAATTTGGAATGCTTAGTAGTGTGTCAAGCAAAAGTAATCTTGGACAGATAAGAGTATTCTTTCAATTGCTATTTCTTCCCAAAGGTTCCGGAAGGCTTTTATACAATTGGAGAGAAATTTTGAATAATCAACACTAGTGATAGACAGAAGGGAACTGACAAGATTTATCAAGAGCAGAAGATTAGCAAATAACTGAAGGTGTGAAACTCAAAAACAAATTTGATTGTGCTTCCCTGGGAAATTCATTAGTGTGTTTATTTGCAATACAGTTAATTTGTGTTAATTTGTTTGAAAATATGTTTTTATGTATTATAATAGTTACATTGATTCCCTTTTGCCTCAGTTAGCATAATGCAGCAGAATAAAAATTAGAATTCATCAATTTATTTATGAAATAAACACAATCGATGAAGACTCTAAATATTAGGTTAATGTTGAAATAAACTTAACTAAGCATCCTTAAAGAAACATGGTGATGCCTTCTTACGTGCATGAAAGGGTTTTGTAATGTTTATAATGAACCCCTAATCACCGGTGTGATGGCAAAAGAGAATCCAAAGGAAATACTCACCAAGCCATCTATTTCATTGGTTGTTATCAGGTAGTAGGTTGTGTCTTAAAAACTATATAAACTTTTTTTTTAGCATTTGTTGTTGACTTTCAATTCATAAAATTATGTACTTGTCAAAATTGATCATAAATAGAATCTCAATTTTTTTTTTTATTCATTTACTACTTACCAATTGTACATGTATATATGCATCACTCCAAAACTGTCAAAGTAAAATACTGCTGGAAAGCTGCCATCAAAACAGAAGTTGCTGGAAAACCTTGCCAAGTAAGGCAGCATCTGTAGAGAGAGAAACAGTAAACTTCTTAAGTTGACTATGACTTCTTCAGACAGTGAGAAAGCATCTTCTATGTAAATTTCCAGTTTTGACTGATAATGTCACAGAATCACAGGTTGGTTACATATCATGACATGCTTCATTGGGGTAGCGCTCTGGAAACAAAGCCTTGCTATTCACAGACACATCAAAAAAGTTTTAAATCATAAAGAATCCCCCAATTTAACTGTTTTATAGATCTAGGTTGACAGAAAACATGGACCAGGTTTCTTTAATTAAACAAGAATTATATTTTATTGCAAATAAGTAGATTCTAACTGCAGATGATAAATTATGAACCATCAACATGTAAATATACTGGTTAAAACTCTAACTCCCTTATAAACACACCCCTCTACTTAACCACACAGGTACACAAAAATAAACATGTATGTCATGGGGGGAGAGAAAGACTGGAAAGGTAATTTAATGGTCTCTGTCCACAGTGTTTGCTGAGATGATCGTTTTGCTGATCAGAATGCTACTTCCGAATCTTCCTTCTACAGATACATTCACTTTTTTTGCATGAAACTCAGGGTGGCTACTTCACACTTATAAAGGTCTCTGACTAATTAATTAAAAGTTATACCCAACCACAACTGGTGAGGGAAAATTAACTGGCTATCATCAGGCTTAGGATTTTTTGTCCTGCAGAATAGAATAAGTTCCTTCCCTTCCAAAGGTCTGATGGTTTCAGCCCAGAACATTCATATCCACAAGCTGTCCACCTAGCTGGGAGCCAGTCACACAGATGTTGGCAGACAGGAGGCCTTTTTCAATGATGACTGGACACTTATTCAGAAGCAACTCAGCTATTTGTTGACATCCAAATCTCCACAGAAACTCAGTCCCTGGTGTCAACTGGTCTGTAGCTAGGATCCACTGTTTGAACCAGCAGCTATGTAAACAACACTTACAATGAGGGTCAAATAACTTGCTTTTAATAATGTGCAGCAATCCTTCAAAAATCTTTGACTTTAAAATCCTGATTTTCCCATTATAATCAAAAATGCCACTAAAATGGTTTTTATAATCAGAAGAAGGTAATTCAGCACATTCTGTCTGTGTTGGTTCCCTGCAAGAGCACCTCAATTCATTTCACTTTCCCACCTTTTCCCTGTAATCCTGCAATCCTTGTCTGTTGAGGTTATTAACCAATTATTTTTTGGAGGCCTTGATAAATCTGCCATAGCCACACTCCAAGAAGTACATTCCAGGTTCAAATCAGTAACAGCATTAAAAAATGTTTTGCTTATGTCTCTGTGCTTTTTGCCAAACCTCACCACCATCTACAAGGCAGAAGCCTGGATTGTGATGGAATAATCCCCACTTGTCTGGATGAGTGCATCTGCAATAACATTCAGGAAACTCAACACTATTTAGCAAAAAACAGCTCACTTGATTGGCATCCCATTCAATACATTTAATATTCATTCCCCCACCACCAGCAGTCAGTGATAGCAGTGTGCAACATCAACAAGATGCAATACACCAATTCACCAAGGCTCCTTCAACTTTCAAAACCGATGACCCCTACAACCAGAAGGACAAGGACATCAGATGCATGGAAACACCACCATCTGCATGTTGCCCTCCAAGCCACACAACAACCTGATGTGAAACTATATCACCAGTGAGTCTCTATAATTGGATCAAAATCCTGCTACCCCTTTCTAACAATGCTGTACTCGCCTGCCCTTCCTCTAGACTGCAGTAGTTCAGGAAGGCAGCTCACCACTTTCTACAGGCCAAATAGAGATGAACAAAAATTGTTGGCATTGCCAGTGACAACTATTGATGAATTTTAAAAACATTTTAAATTGATGTCCTCTGTTTTCAGGTCTGCATCAAAGGAAACCCTTAGCCCCATCTATGTAGAATAGACCACTTATTATTTTAAATATGTCAATTAAACTTCCTTTTATGTTGCTTTTCTCCAGCGAGAATAGTTTCACCTTCTCCAATCTATCCACCAAATGAAATTCTTTGGAATTATTCTCATAAATCTTGTCTGTCATGTCTCTAATGCCTTCATATCCTTCCCAAGTTATAGTGTCTAGTCCAAAATCCTGGGTTTAAAAATTACTAGTTTTTTTAAAATTGAATTTCAAGCTAAATATTGATATTTACTAAATCACTATGATTAAATTGTTGTCATTCAAATCCCTTGTCTGTCCATGGTCTCTGCAATTTCTGCTGACTTGGCCAAAGGGCCCTTTCTGTGTTGTGGACCTCAATGACTCTATGAAAATATTTGACTGAATACAACTTCTGTTCTTGGTGTCATTAGAGCTGTGCTGACCCAAAGAAAAAAAAAATTGCCAGTTTTGTATATCCCAAATAATTTAAGGGGATCTATTTTAAAAATTGTGGAAAGTGGGTAAGTGAATAAGGTTAGGGTTAGAATGGTTCCAGGGTCTCAAAGCAATTCAAAGAATAAATACGACTATTTGAGAAGATTCCCAGTTTACCAGTTAAAAAGATTTGAAACTCAACTTCACACTTCATGTGAACACACTTCATGTTATACCTCATGTAAAGTCCAGTCTAAGGGAGGTTTCACATCACTGCACACCCAATCAGATCATGATCTGATTATGCAATTAAGTTGCAACCTTTTGTGACTACTTGCAAGATCATCTCAGTGACTGATTTGTAACTGTATCATTGAAAATGATTTTCACTTAGCTTTTTGATGGTTGTAAATTTTCTTTGTTCTTAATTGGATAACAGGTCCAACATATCATTTTAATAGAAGTTACTATTAATATATACCAATATAACTCTATTTGTTCCTCCTATTAATAAAATGTAAGTTTTTCTGAACTCGCAGTGATTATGCTATAGGCATGAAGTTAGTATCACCACACAGCACTGCACGGAAAGAGGACTCAAAATTAAGCAAAAAATACTTGCAAAATTCATAATATATTAACAGAATAATAAAGTGATATTATATCTAGTTTGAGTGATCGAAGTGCTCAATTATCACATTTGTGGTTTATATTATTTGGATTGCTAAATCACATCACCTTTTTGTATTCGTTGCAAGACATATAACATTCTCTTTGTAGCAAAGTATTCATAATTTAACTTTTATTATTACTTCGTAATTACATACACAGCTGAGTTTATAATCCATATGAATCAACTCAGATACTGATTTGATCCCTTACTGTAGGGGAAAAGCAAGACATTGTATAAATTCATAAATTAACATCTGTTTAAATAACTAAAATGATCTGCAACAATCTTCAGGGGACATGAGCAAATATGACCTTATTAATAATACGCCTGGATATAAATTGCATTTCATGCAAAATATGTACAACTAGTATGAAAATGGAACTTTCTTTGAAAAATTAAATAAGCTACAAAAATCCAAAGTATTTACTCAAAGTCAAAATAGCAGGAATCTTCTGTGTGAATATTTATGTTCAAAAGCTTTTATTCCCTGAGGAATAATTAAGGGAACAGATTAAAATAAATCATGGTGTGCTATAGTACAGATGGATTAATAAAAGAATGCCTTTTCAAGTTCAAAGAATCAGCACATTGGGTTCAGTTAGCAGTTAATGATTAAAATATCATCATTTATATATCTTGGAGCTGAGATTTTCCTGGATTTAAATGGTTTAATCACAAAGTGGATTATTTTCCTACTTTATGGATTTTATGTGGCTACTTACTTTCTACAATAGGCAGTGTATCGTATAATATTTGCATAGAAATGTAAAGTATCAGTTAATGGGTGGTAAAATGTATCTTGTGTACTTCCACTTGACTTGGAAGGAATGTGAATTCTATGTTTCTAAAACTTTAAGAACAGATGGGCCCAAAGAAGGAAGGGATGGGAGCAGTGTGCGCAGATTCCCAATAACTGGTGACATCCTCCAACTATAGATATTTTCCTAATCAACATGTTCAAAGATGTTAATACACACCTTTGGAGAGGATGGGTCTTGAGCACAGGCCTGCTAGTTCAGTGATGGGGATACTACCATTGAAGAAGGGACACCACTATCTTACTACAAGAGCACCATATTCCAACTAAATGATTGCCTGAACCCCTAACTATCGAATATTCCTGCAGTAGAAGAATTTTTGTGTGATTTTAGAATAGTATCATAGCATGTGCTGAGAGGAATCAAACAAAATCCAATAAAATGCAATTGGCCATTTTTATTTTCAGGATCCTTCAGGTGAGTCTTCACAAATTAGTGGCTCCTGCGTTATTCATAGCATGTGATTGTAACATTGGTCATTCCCCACTCCTTTACGTTGTGGGCAGTTTTGCATCATTAGACAATCTCTCTAAATGTAGAATACCCTCTCTCCATATGTAGAATAATAGGCAGTTGGTATTACACAAGAACTGGTCACAAGTCTAAGGTCAGCCAAGTCTCTGTCCAATCATTGAGAGCAGAAATGGACGGATAAAACCCAATTGCTATTTCTGATTTACCGCTGACCAGCTACTACTTTAGGGAATGCAATGTCTAATGTTATACCTGCTAAGAATAATAAATGAAATGCGAAATAAATATGGGACGGAGTGGTGCTCAGTCATGTAAAAACAAAGTGCAAGTAAGTACAGAACATGAAACCAGGCAGGTGGAGTAAAATCACCAGGAAGTTATTCGGAGGCGGGAATCTGAAGTTGAGATATCATGTTCATTTGTGTGTATGTTACAAAATGAAAATGGACCGATGTGTTCCACTATTTCGGGAGGTGTAAGTGCTACACTTGATCCTACAAAAATAAGCACGCCGGCCGAACAGGGATGTTCATCAATCATCCAATGTGGCTGAAAGTTAACTCACTGAATGTACATTTCGTGCTGCTTTTGCTTGTTTGTCTGTGGCACGGACCTTGACTTAAACAGGCTCCCCCTTATTATATCGACTGAACTGTGTACCAGAATAGACGTGTGCGAAAATATTTCTTTCGGAATTGGCACAT